GAGAAAAACCCACGAGGATGTTAGATCGTTCTCACACACCTGATACTTTGTCCAAAATGAGTATAGCTAGAGGTACAACTATATACGTTTATTCTTCAGATAAATCCACACTTATCGATAGTTTTCCTTCTTCTAGAAAAGCTGGCGAATATTTTAATGTTTCATTTAATACAATTTTAAAATATGCAAACAATGGTGTATTGTTTAAAGAGAAATGGATATTCTCAAAAATTTTAATAAATAAAGTTAACTCAGAAGACACTGAGGAATAGAGGGGAACTATTCTATATAACAATTGTTATATATTAACACCCAACTTTTTTTAATAGCTAACCCATTCGAGGGGTTTGAGTTATATTTTTAGATAATGTTTATCTAATTACATCAATATTTGATAAATTAAACTTCTGGACTTCTGGTATCCATAGTTCAGAAAATTTTGTTAATACTGGATTCAATACCATTTATAACAATATTTTTGTGAATTACAAACAAATTCAAGTAGTAGGGTAATATATTATAAATTCTATAGGATTAGTTTATAACTGTTCTATGATTAATTTATAACAGTTGTATGCTAAATGTTTATAATTGAGGTTATCAATTACCTCAAGTAAATACCCCCCCCGTTGAGGCCACTCCGGAATTATTTTGACCATTTTTTATTCTTATAAAAATAATAATTTAACTATATTACAGCTTATTATAATTATTTAGATAAGATTATTTAAACTAGATTGTTCAAGTCTTATCTATACTAGATTGTTCAAGTCTTATCTATACTAGATTGTGCAAGTCTTATCTATACTAGATAGGTACATTTATAATTAAAATTTTCTTTAGGATGTAACTTAATTTAGAGTTTAAGGGAATGTAACTTAATTGGTAAAGTAACTAGCTTTTATCTAGCCTTATCAGAGTTCGAGTCTCTGCGTTCTCATTATATATGACTATATTTATAAAATAAATCTTATATTAATAAGGATTTAACCCGGGTATTCATATACAATTAACTAAAAATGAGTCTTTCCTATACAATAAACCTTCAAAGTTTGTTAAAGATCAAAAGTTAATTTATTAATATTGATTATCTTCTTTAAAAGTAATCATACCGATAAAGATCTATAAGACCTTATATAATAATAATCATTTATGATATCTTTTATCTGTAGCGAAGCCAATATACTGGAAGCAAAAGACAAAGAATAATTATATAAGGCTAGGATTTATATATATTTTGGTTATTGATTTAAATAATCAATTCACCAATACCCTCCCATTTTTAGGGGGGGCTCTAAATAAAAATAAAAATGAATAATATATTATTAGATTTATTAACATTCACTTCTGTATTATCAGCTATTTTTGTAATTACAGCTCGAAGTCCCATAATATCTGTATTATTTTTAATAGCCGTATTTGTTAATTTAGCTGGTTATTTAATTTTATTAGGGATTAACTTTATAGCATTAGCATATATAATGGTATATATAGGGGCTATTGCTATATTATTCTTATTTGTAATTATGATGCTAAATATCCGATTGGTTGAGCTAACGGAAATCGGTAGTAATTACAGTAAAAATATCCCATTAGCAATAGTTGTATCATCTACTTTAAGTTATCTGATATTATCAAATGCTACCACATCTAAATTAGATAATGTTTATCTAATTACATCAATATTTGATAAATTAAACTTCTGGACTTCTGGTATCCATAGTTCAGAAAATTTTGTTAATACTGGATTCAATACCATTTATAACAATATTTTTGTGAATTACGAACAAATTCAAGCAGTAGGTAATATAATGTACTCTTCTTATGCATTATATCTTATACTTGTATCGTTTGTTCTGTTATTAGCTATGCTCGGCCCAATAATTATAACGTTAGACAAAAAGTCTAACACCCCCCCCCCAAATCAAGTTTGGACCATTTAACAAAATTAAAACTCGTAATTATCACGTATTTTATCCTTTAAAATAAACAAGTATTCTCGAATAAGCCTTTACAAAAGTTAAAGGATTCTTTAGATCTATCCTCTACAGATATTCAATTTAGTACATGGTTAATTAACAATAAACCTGTCAAAATATATCCAGATAGTGAGGGATGTAAAGAAACAATTTATAAGGATAATAAAGATAAATCTGGAATTTATTTATGGTGATGTAATATAAATAATAAATATTATATTGGGTCTGCTAAAACTTAAAAATAAGATTGGGAGCTTATTATAACCCACAACAATTACTTAATAGAAATTTTTTAATCCAAAGAGCCTAAATTAGACATAGATATGCAAATTTCTCATTATATATAGAATTCCTAAATCATGTTTTTTTATTATGTTAGTAGATTTTATAGATGGGAATAAATCCGACCAAGACCGGAAAATCTAAATAACAAGAATTGATTAAAAGATAGTTTAAAATAATACATGTCTTAATTGACATGTAATTAATATTTTTAATATGGTTATTGCTACATATTCTTTTTTTGCGTGGTTTATTTTTTTAATAATAATAAATTTTGTCTCTGGGTTCCCAGAAATTTTGCTTAATTTACATTTGTTTATTCCTAATCATTATTATGATGAACAATTAAATCCGTTATACACACTTCTATTTGTTTTACCTGTAGGTGTAAAATTTTATGATGATCTTTTAAATAATAAAGAATTAATCATGAAAGAAAATAAAGGTAAAGCAGGGATTTATTTATGGGCACATAAAGAATCTGGTAAATTATACGTTGGTAGTTCTGTTGATATGTCTATACGGTTAAATTATTATTTTAGTGAAGGGTATCTTACTCGTTATAAAAATAGTTATATATATAATGCCATATTGCTTCACAAATTATCAGCTTTTAGTATTACTATTTTAGAGTATATTGATATAACAAATCTCTCAGAAATTGAAGTTAAAAATTTGATTTTGACAAGAGAGCAGCATTTTATTGATTCTCTTAAGCCTGAGTATAATATTAATCCTATAGCAGGGTCTCGTTTAGGCTCTAAACATACTGAAGGAACTAAAGCTTTACTCAGCGAAGCCATGACCGGAGCCAACCACCCTTTTTATGGTAAAACCCATACATTGGAAACTATAGCTAAGCAAAGTGAAGCAAATAAAGGAGAGAGACATCCTTTATTTGGTAAGACTCTTTCAATAGAGACTATAGCTAAGCTAAGTGATTCTAAGAAAGGAAACAATAACCCGATGTTCGGTATAGTCCCTGTTAATGCAAAAAGTATATATATTTATTCATTAGATAATAAACTTGTTAAAGAATGTTCTTCAATTAGTGAGACAGCTAAATGGTTAAACACTTATCCGTCAAAAGTAAGAAAACATCTTTCTACTAAAGAAGTATTTGATAATAAGTATATAATACGTGATAATGTAATTGATGTTCATTAAGAGTTTCTAATTTTTTATACAGTCAGTCTTTTATAAATAAAAGACACCCCTCCTCCCATAGAGCTAGGATACTTGAGTACTGTGGGATAGAAAATCTAATCACACGTGAACAATATTATATTGATTTGCTTAGCCCACAATACAATATTTTAGAATTTGTAGGATCTAGTTTAGGTTACAAACACTCGAAGGAAATTTGATTAAAACTTAGTGAAATTTAAAAAACTAAAAAGGATTTTTCTCACCTATTTTGGCTTCACTTATTTTTTTAAGCGTTATTCCTGTGTGGGGCCCACTAAAAAAGGATGATTTTTACCTTTTTTGGCTTTACCTATTTTTGCTTTTGTTTATTCTGATCGTGTCTGTCCTAAGGAACACCCAACAATTTTCTGAATATAATATTCAGGCGCAAGAGTCTCTATATAATATTGTTTTTTTTTTTCTAGAATCAATTTTCGAGCTTCATCTTTTGAAAGATTACTAAATATCTATGTATTCTAATATAGTAAGACTAAATGCGCTATAATCATACAAAGTATAGCTTTATTTATATAACTTTTATTCTTTTCTAAATAGCTTTTAGTAAAATAAAATTCGATTATATAAATTTACGCCCGAACCTACATATATTCTACCAAATATTAAGTGTGCCCAAAGATATATACCAGTTTGATCCTTATTGTTCTTTAGAATTTAGGATTTTCCACTTTCAGCATTAGAATATCTTACTATAGAAATAAAGGATGAGAATAGAATATTATGATTTATAAAATTATTGTTTGAAAAACCTGCCTAATTGTTCAATTTCCACAGACTATAAGATACTGAATAAAATTATTAAAAGAGCTTGTGGGGTGTTATTCACTAAAGACATTCTAATAGAGAATAACAAAGGATATTTAGGTAAAATATATGTAGATAATACGTATAAAATTACGATAAATAATAAGAATGAATAAGATAACATATTCACAAAATAAAAAGGTAATAATTGAGGCATTTTTTTTTATAAATAAAAAGAATTAAAATTTAATCCTCCCGTAGTATCCTTTTTCTTACTCCACGTGTGGGCTGTCGGGGGGGGGTAGGGGGGGGAGACAAACAGGAAGACAGCAAGTTTACCAAAAAAAAAAATTGAAAAATTGAAAAAAAATAAAAATATTGAAAAATTAAAAAAGTTGAAAAATTTCTAGTATATTGTTATTACTATATTTTATTGTACATAGTAATAACAATATACTATACCTCAAAAAAGACAAAACTTAATCTATCTTTGATGGACTTTGTGTTATTCTTCTATAAACTCATTACTAACTAATCAATTAGAGAAAAGGCCCCAAAAATTATACAGTAGATTAACTGATAATCCCTTTCGAATAAGAAGAGAGGGGGGGAGATTGTTTATTCTCCTCCCCTCCTCTTTAAGTAAAGATAATTATCTTTGGTTGTTAAAACATATACGCAGAAGTTCAAAAAAAAAAAGAATGTTATTAAAATCAGTTCATTTTTTTCAACTTTTAGGGGGGGGGAACTTGTAAAATAAATCCTATAAGATCTATGTTAAGTTTTTATCGGGATTAAACGGATTCGAACCGATATCCTCATAATCGACAATTATGTGCTCTACCAAGATTAAGCTATAATCCCTTATTCTTTATAATCTTCTTTAATTAACCCGTCAATAGAATAAGAATGATAAAAAGTCACCTAACAGGGCGGGGGGGGGTGGTGACTATCTATATAAAAATAGTAGGGTATAGAATTTTAAATATTAAAATAAACCTAGCTTTAGTATAAATTCTATATTACCTTTGATATTAAAAAAGTTTTTTTTATAAAAAAGTCTGGCCCCTTTAATGAGCCAACTTTAAATTCCAACAGATTCGGGCCATCTATCTCTTAAAGACTTAGGGGGGGGGTTCAGTTGGTTTTCCTCGGGGCCGAGCATCCATAAGATGGATGAAGAAATAGGTGAACTGATTAATATAAACGAGGATAGGTTTTCACAATTAGGACAAGCACCCTCCACCACCCAACTTGATTGTGTAGAAATTCAATTCTTTTAGCTCGTAAGCTTTAATTTAAGTAGGACCAAGAGGAATTGAACCTCTACTATCTCCCGTATCAAGGAAGTGTTTTACCAGATTAAACTATAGTCCTCATTATATAATATTTATGTTTATAAACACCCTTGTATAATAGCCTAACTTTTCTATAAATAGGACCAAGAGGACTTGAACCGGGGGGCTACTATCGGTCTTATCAAGACCCCGCTTTAACCAATTAAGCTATAATCCTCATTATATAATAAAAAAATTTTGTTCCCCGTTGGCCTTAATATTATTAAGAATCAGCTTACCGATAAAACTACAACCCCATTATAGAAGATAATCTTCTTATTTAATCTTACCCCCCCCCTGGTGAGGTTTCGGCAGGGGCTATTTTAAAAAGGTAGGGGGGCTATTTTAAAGAGGGGGGGGGGGATTTTAGCTCAAGTGTTCGTTAAGCCAAGCTAAGTATTTCTCTAAAGAAACAGCTTGGATAACTATTGGCATAAATCCGTGGTTAACACCACATATTTCTGAACATTGTCCATAAAACAGACCTTCTCTATTGATAAATGTTGAAGTTTGATTTAAACGACCTGGCAGGCAATCAAGTTTAAGACCTAAAGCAGGAACAGCAAAAGAATGGATTACATCAGTGAGGTGCTGTTCAAACTTGAACGTTTTAGTCTAATTTATATTTCATAGATTGATGAAAATGAATTGAAACTAATTTACGGAAAGTATCCATAGAATCAGCCTTTATATAGATACGATAATTTTTACCAGTACCCCCTAGACGAATAGTGGTATTTAAATTAAAATTATCTTTAAGGGCTTTAACCAATAATTGAATATCTTCTAATAAATAACTATCAGTACATAATGTAAAACCTAAGCCTGCTTTTGAACCATCATCCATAGCCCAATATGCTAAACCTACAGGACTTAATAGATCTCCTATATTTAAAGGAATTCTTTTAACTCTATCTACATAAAATAAATCATGATAAATATTAAAACATGGTAAAGAATAAGTTCTAAAATATATAGAAGTATATACTTTGTTAGTCCTTTTATCGAAAAATTCAAGATGTTTTGGTTGCTTCATATTAGAATAGCTCGAAAACAACTCAAATAAATGATAAATATACTCCTTATTAACTAAACCTTGTTTAAATTGTAATCTAGCATTTGTATATTCTTTATTTATATGTAAATCTCCTAAGCTTAAACCAATCAGAATTTCATTTAAATGAGGAGGTACAGAAAAAGAATTTCTTTGAACATTAGTTAATCTACCTGTGCTATAATATTTATGAAAAAAAAGACCTGAACCAGAAAAATGTGAATTTAAAAAAAGACCTGAACCAGAAAAATGTGAATTTAAAAAAAGACTTGAACCAGTAAAATGAGAATTTAAAAACATTGTTGACATATAAGAGCTTCGTACAAAAAATTGAATTTAACAATTAATCTTGTTAAAACGGCCACAGCCACTTTTATAGCTCCAGTATATTAGAGGCCCCGATCAATTACAGTGGGGGGGATTTTAGCTCAAGTGTTCGTTAAGCCAAGCTAAGTATTTCTCTAAAGAAACAGCTTGGATAACTATTGGCATAAATCCGTGGTTAACACCACATATTTCTGAACATTGACCGTAGAATAAACCTTCTCTGTTAATAAACGTTGAAGTTTGGTTTAATCTACCAGGTAAACAATCTAATTTAAGTCCTAGAGCGGGTACAGCAAATGAATGGATTACATCACTACCTGTTAAAATAAATCTAACGTGAGTGTCTACAGGTAATACTACTCTATTATCTACTTCAAGTAATCTAAATTGCCCTTCTTCTAAATCAGCTTCAGGAACCATGAAACTATCAAAAGCTATTGGTTCCCCAGAATCTGAGATATAATCAGAGTACTCATAGCTCCAGAACCATTGAGAACCTACAGCTTTAACAGTAATAGCTGGATCTATTACTTCCTTTTTCCCCACCTTTCGTTCACTTATTTTATAAGAGAGGGAACTTGGACTATATCATCATCCTAAATTAATAGGGTGTTTCGCGTTTAGTCTCTGAGGATTCTACTAAAGATAAATAATCTTTTTGGTTTCCTGCTGATTGCCCATTGTATTATCCATTAAGATTTTTACCTAAATGTTAAAAATAGAGGGTTTCTACCACCCCCCCCCCCTAATTTTATCTAAATGCTAAAGATAAGGGGGCTATTAAATTCCTTTATTATAGGTACTTAAGGCTTTAGGAGTTTCCAGCATATAGCGAAATTGTTCAATTAACCTTACAGTTAAAGGGGACAAAGTATTTAAATGAGTTCATAAGTCATACTAGGGTGAAAGTGTGGAAATACAAATGCTTTGAACAGAGACATTGATTTAGCTTTAGTTTCAATTACAGGAGCGTTTTTGCTATTTTTGAGCACTACAAATAAGATTAAGTTATAATCTAATAAACCAGCTAATAAATAAGCTTCATAAAACGTATACGCTTTAGCATGAAAATAAACCCTGAGCGGGCTTTAGCTCCCCCCCACCCCCCCCCCATAGCCCTATATACTAATGCTATATCATCAAAATATAATAACAAATCAGGTGGAATATTTTTAATTTAATTACCGACTATATTAGAATAAAATAAATTACCCAGAGTTTGCATAAAAAAATAAGTTTGTATAAACCTGCATAAAGGGATATATTTTTCTAGATATTGTCAATGACAGGAATTGTGGACAGTAATGAGAAAATTTAAAAAGAGGGGGGGGGGCATATATAATCAAATCTTTCTAATGTCTGTGTAAAGACAAAAGTTGGCGTTATGCTAGTCTTAGACTTAGCTAATGCTACATCCCCTAATAAATGATTATATTAACTGACTCACAATACGTTTAGTGTCTCTGTTAAATTTCGAGTATAATTATCAAAGTGCATGTATGTAGTAGATCCGACTACACCGTGTGTGCTAAAATTGTACAAAGGCTGTTAAGCTTCTTCATAGGGATTAGTGTTAAATAACTAAGGCCTAACTCAAATATAGGACTATCCATAAGATATAATAATCTGAAACTTGGGAATGCTATGGCTACTAGAACTAATGCTGGAGTAATTGTCCAAATTAATTCTATTACTGTACCATGTGTAAAATATTTGTATACAATAGGATTTTTAGTTGTATTAAATTTAATAATAATTATACCTAACATCCAAGATACAAGGATAACAATTATTATTAAATAAAACATAATTTGATCGTGAAGATCTACAATTCCATCAAAAGATGGAGAAGCCCCATCTTGAAATGAGAATTGCCAGGGTTCCGCCGTATCACAAAATACTGTTGGTCTAATAAGATAAGAAAATAAAGTTAATAACATAATAAAAATTTAAAAAAATCGTACAAAAAATTGAATTTAACAATTATATATTCACAACGGATATAGCCACTTTTAGAGGTTAAAGGAGGTGCCCACCTTAAACAAGGGCTCAATTGCTAAATTTTATTAAATTAATTAAATTAAATAAGGAGAATTCAATTATTTAGCTGATGTAGATAATATCCATTTTCTTTGAAACAATTTACCGCTTTTTGCATATTTTAAGATAGTATGATGTGAACAATTAAAAAATTCACTCGCTTTCTTAGCAGAAGAAAAACTATCAATGTATATAAGCTCCTCACCACAATATACATAAATAGAAGTACCAAGACTGATACTAATTTTCGCCTTAGTTTCTATTAAATAAGATTTTCCGAACATAGGATTATTTTCTCCCGTATTGGTTTCACTCAATTTAACTTTAGTCTCAAGAGAATGTAATTTACCTTTATTGATTTCACTCAGTAAGGCTTTAGTTTCAATTGAATGAGTTGTACCATACATAGGATTATTTTCACCAGACAAGATTTCACTAAGTAATGCCTTAGTTTCCTTAGTATGTTGTGATCCTAAACGAGATCCTGCTATAGGATTTATAGTATCTTGGGATATAGCATTTCAGAATATAATTGATTAGTTTAGATATTCTTTCTTTTTAAAGGAAAGAATCATTAAAAATGTAAGTTTGATTTATTTTTATTTTTGTAACCTTAATACACCTTTGTTATTCTAATCAGGGGGGGGGATTTTTAATCCCTTGGTTTATAACTACTCCGCACCACGTTCCCCTTAAACTAATAAAGGGAGAAAGGGTGGGGGGGATTTTTAAATGGCTCCATAATCTTGTATTTTCATACCTGCCATCCCATATTATAAAAATGGGTTTATATGTTTTAAAAAGTTTATTATGCATTATATCACCAATGGATATAAAAAAGCATTATACCGACAGTATAGTATAAAAGCATTATACCGACAGTATAATATTAAATTATAAAATTCTATTAGAATTCATGTTTTCTTTTATTTTAATAATTTTATTTATACCTTCTAAATTTAAATGCTCTTTAGCATCCATAAGTTTAGCTACTTTACAAAAATCTTCAAAATCTAAACGTTTAATCCCAATTAAAGGGTATTCTTTAAAAAATGGGATTAATATTGTATTTATATCATTTAATTTTGTTACTGTATAATTAACTA